CATAACATTTCAAGGGTGTTAAATCAATGGAGCAAAAATTCCCTATTCAACATTATCAGGATGGTTTGGAATGGCCACAAACAAGAAAACTTCTGAACAAAAGTGTTAGATGCTCTGACAAAATGGATCCTCCTTTAAGACAGACCAGGATAATCAAAGAAAAGAAAGTATTTAAATCAGCTCCCTTGCTGAGTACTGTGACCATTTTTAGTGCTAGCTAGACAAAGTCCAAGTACCTGGGATGCTGGGCAGAGCGAGGCTCTTAAGGTAGCCAGGCTACCTGCTGCGTTTTCTTCCCAGTCTGGTCCAGTTAAAGAACATGGGCATGGATGCAGGTTTAGACCCCCACTGCCAAGGGCGCCAACGTTTCCGCCCTCGAGGTCAGGCCCGCCCCTCCCGTGGGCAGTGTCTCGAGGCTCCGCCTCTTCCCCCACTGCTACCCCATCGTAGGCCTGGGTTGCTGTCCAAGAACAGCTGGCCCCTAAATTCTTCTACCTTTTCTGTGGCTACGGATGTTTGCACTTTCACAAAGCTCGCCCCTCCTTCAACTGCGCTCTCCTAACACTACCCACCAGTTGGTTCCTTCCTTCAGCTATTCTGGCTTCTAGTATATACTTCCCAAATGCAGATGGATGATCTCACCTTGGCTTTGAAGCTCTCCGAACTACCCAAGCTTTACAGTAAATAGAATACATACTCCTCAGACCAGAACAGAAGGTACTCTGAATTCCAACCTTGGCCTGACTCTGGAGCCTGACTGCATCTACCCTGATAGTGGTGCTTCCCCCATCCTGCCCCCACCCCCGGCCCCCACTCTCCTCTCCCCTAGGAGATGGATTCCAGTACCTCTTCCTTTTTAACTTTAGAGTTTTAGACTTTCAAATATGTTGCAAAATGGTACATGTGCCCTTCCCTCTGTTTCCCCTAACGTTAGCATACTTCCTAACCATAATACAGTCATCATGGAAACCAAGATAAATTGGTACACACTTAACTACTCTAAAGATCTTATACAAATTTGCAGTTTTCCCACCAATACCCTTAGCTGGTCCAGGATCCTGTCAAGTCCTCCTTGCATTTAGTTCCAAGGAGCTAAGTCAGTCTTTGTTTTTGTAATTTGCACAGGAATGTTTTTGTTGTTGTTATTTTAAAGTTCAATCATTATGTCATTTGTAGAATTTGCACCAAGTTTTTTTTTTTTTTTTGGGGGGGGGGTACCAGGAATTGAACTCAGAGAGGCACATGATCACAGAGCCACATCCGTAGCCCTATTTTGTATTTTATTTAGAGACAGGGTCTCACCAAGTTGCTTAACACCTTGCTTTTGCTGAGGCTGCTTTGAACTTGAGATCCTCCTGTCAAGAATATTTTTAAGGCAACTGTTAAAGCATGTTTTAGTTGTGCTAAAACACACACACGCACAACAAAACATTAACAATTTTAACAATTTCTAAGTGTACAGTTTATTAGTGTTAAGTATGTTCGTATTGTCATGCTAACAATCTCCATAATGTTTTCATCTCCCCAGATTGAAACTGTACTTATTAAAACACTGGTCCCTATTTCTCCTGTACCTGGACCCTGGCAATCACCAATAGACCTTCATTTTCTATGAAGTAACATGCCATATGAATTCTACCCTTTACACTGACATGGACATGTCATTCCACTTGCTCTATTTTCTCTCATTCCTGGGATGCAAGTCCTTGCATTTACTGTGTCAGCAGACTCTCCTTCATGGCTATTACTTTCCCTTTGGATGTTGGTAAATTTGAACTATGAGCTACTCTATAGCAGGGATTGTTTTGTGTGAGTTCCTGCAATTGGACTGTGGAGACCTATCTATGTTCTGTACCTTTGCCTGGCTCCATCAATGTTAGGGTGCTGGACCACTTAGATATGATAAAGGATAAAGATGAAAAATCCCTAGGACGGGAGCTTCTGTTCCCGTGGAATTTGGGTGTGTCATGCTCCTGGTACATAAATGCTGTTTTAGTCAGAGTTTTTGTCAGTATGACCAAAAGATCTGACAATAACAACATAGAGGAGAGAAAGTTTAAATTAACAGAAAGGATAAAGGGAGAAATTTTTGGCCTCTATTCATTGGACAGAGCATTAATATCCAGAATTCATAAAGAACTCAAAAAAGTTCAACAACAAAATCCCAAATATTTCAATTAATAACTGGGCAAAAGTGCTCAGCAGACGCTTCTCAAAGAGAGTACAAATGGCCAATAAATACATGAAAAGCTGCTCAGTATCTTTAGCCATCATGGAAAAGCAAATCAAAACTACATTAAGATTCCATCTCACCCCCTGTCAGAGTGGCTATCACCAAGAAAATAAAACATAGCAAATACTGGAAAAGAAGCAGGAAGAAATGAACA